CTCCAAAGTGCAAAAGAACTCCTGGTGATTTTGTTACATAATGTAAGCTGAATGGGTGGTGATGTGCACCAACACTTCAGTTTTTGGACTTTGAACCTTGCAAAAGCCAAGATTAGCAGTTTTCTAGCTTTCCACTAAATGGTGCTGCAAGCATGTTGGGTTTCAAGCAGAAGGAATCTGCTTGTAGTTTACCTTCAAATATGAAGTTACCCTGTGTTATGAAATAGTTTGCTTATTTAAATTTACATTTAATAAATACAGTGCAAGAAGAAAAATCTTTTTTTTTTTTCTTAAATAAAAGTGATGTTGAAGGTATTTGAAGCTTTCATTAACTTCAGCTGTTTCTAAAACTTTTTCTAAAAGATGTTTTGATTGCCATGACATTTAATACTCGATTCACAGAAGTGCTGTAAACCCAGTTGCTTCTGAACCATATCCATGTATAGAAAGGGGACCATGTGGTAAACTGCATTGGTTGGAATTTTTGGAACACCAATGTCCACCCAGGTGTGCTGACATTGTAGATCCTTATGCAAAGAAGATGTGCTTTAGTTCTTTCGTCCTCATACAGTGAACTTGAGTCCTAAGTATAAATGAAGGTGGTTTTTCATTAGGTTTTTTGGTTTGTTTTTTTTTTTTGCTAAGTGACTGTAAAGTTAGATTTTAGGGCTGTGGCTGTATTAGAGAATGTGTTGGCTTTCGGTGGTTAAATAATTGATTGTTACAGTTCGACTTCATACACTTCTTATACCTAGGCAATGTCACAAGTCTTCTGGAAGTGTTCAGATTTGACAGAGGACCTCACTCCTTCCTCAGTGTTCTGCAGAAAGCCTTAGTTCTTATGCTTCTTTTTAAAAGATGAGACAAAAAGGTAAATTAAAAAACCCCAAACATATGGAAGTTTTCTTTCATTCTTCCTTATTGTCCAGTGCTAGAATACTCATCAGAACAGTTCTGTATTGGATGGTGGGGACAGCGAGATTAAAACTGGAGATTTTACTTGCTCTGCAGTAGTACGGTTGGGAAAGAAGAGGCTTCAGCTGAATTGTGCACAACTTTTTAATGTCTGTTGAACGACTGTAATTGTCTGTTGAGAAGACCTTTAAAGATTCATCTCTCTTTCCTTTTATTGGAGGTGTTAGTCTTTGGCAATTTTTTTGAGAAACAAAGAACTCGAGAGAATTACCATATCCAAACTTAAGATTCTTTGTAAATTACATGTCTGTAAACAGTCTTCTACACTGAAATGGAGGTGGAGGGTGGGGGCGGTGACATGCACACTTTTTCTTCAAAGTGTTAAAGGGTTGGTTGTAGAGTTAAGCTTATTGGGTTGTTATGGCTGTGCATTTACATGGGGAGAAAATAAATAATCTTCAGTTCAAGTAGTTGTCATGCTTCTGCAGCCATCTGTGGTAAGTAGAAATGCTTCCATTTTCAAAAGTTCTGTAAAGCTTGTGTGAGGGTTTGAATGTTCTGGTTTATTGACTTGCAAATTTTGGATAGCAAACTGGAAATAAGATTATTTTGCTTTTTTTCAAACTAAATTAATTACAGAGTAAGGAAGGTCTCTAATAAGCTGTGTCTTCAAATGGGGGATAAAAATTAGAGATGTATAGGGTTTAAACAAATATTTAAAGCTTACTTTTACCAACTTTAAATTAGTGCTACTCATCTGTTATCACAATTTTTTTGTTTTAAAAAAAAATGTATTTTGTGGCAGAAAGAAAAACTCTTGATGGAGTGGGTTATTTTAAAGACCTGATTAGTTTGAGAAGAAAATCCTGAACGTTTCTGTACATGGAGAGAATGTGTAGTCTGATAGCTAGGACTTGTGCATTATAGTATCTTCACCTAATTCAGAACAAAATTTTGTAGTTTTTCTATGCCTGGTGCTAAAGAGGTGAAATAAATATTTGAAGCTGGCCACAAGTGAGAGAACTGAAGGGTCAATTTATTCTCTGGCTCGGTTATTCCATAATTACTGTTTTAGTGAGGACTTTGCCTGCTGCTAATTCTCCTTCAGGAAAAAAAAAAAAAACAAAACAAAACAACCTTAGCAAATAGCTTTTTCTTTTTGTTGTCATGAAATGCAGTACAGTTGGTGTTTGGCATACTCTGATAGCAAATACTCAGTTTTAATCATGTCCTAGAAACTTGTGTCTCCTTTCCCTTCTTGTTAGATGGTCACTCTTTTCTAAGATGTCATAAAAGACTTGCTTATTGGAACCCTTTGAAACTCATACATACGTTTCATTTGTCTTCCTGATTAGATAAGGATTTGATGTACTTGCTGTAGCTCGTTACCAAGAAAGCAAAGCAGCAACAGTAGCAACAAATTTGAGCCACTGAATCATAGATAACCTTTTATTTTTTCTGCTGTCATAACACTGTAGTATAGTTTGATTTTGATGGTTTACAGCCTTCTTTTAACTCACAAATATACTAAAAATTATGATGAGGATGGGTTGTCAAACAAGTGTGTAGCTGAGGGATGGAGTTAAGGTTCCCACATGTAGTTTGTGGTGTGCTGTATTTAGGGTAATAATAATCTGTGAGGCATTAGGTATAATATTATAGGTATGTGCCATTTAGATATGTGTTCATGCTAATTTTAGACTTTCCTGAAAACTACGAATGTGCATATATCCATGTGCTTTGAATACTTATTCTGTTCATGGTTTCTTTGTGCAAATCAATAGACTGAATTTCTAAACTAGTCTTCAGTGAGCATCAAGAAATTTGAATTCTTATCTGCCTTCTAACTTTAGGAATTCATGGCTTGAAGGTTCCTTATTTTTTTCCTTGTTAACTGTTGCTCCAATCACAAGCTTCAAGTATTCCTAGCTATTTGAGTTGATACTGTCTTTTATTTTAATCATTTTCTGACAATCCCAGTGTCACAGAAGTTGCTTCCTGTAAAATAATATAGTATCCACAGAGCACAAGTAAGTACAGAAACTAAAAAAGCAAAACTGTTTTTCCTTGTCTCTAGCTTCTGGTGAGATGGGTTCATCTGTCATGGTTTTTTTTTCCTAATTTTTAGCATTAATTTAGAATTTCCTGTAAAATTTTGGTCAGCTTCATTTAAATTGGATGTATTTATTAATATGGTAAATCTATAAAATGGCCAAAAGCGTACAATCTTTTAGTAAATTAAGTTTTTAGATTGTAGGTGTTTTGGCTATTTTACTATTATACTGACCAGCCTTTTCTTTATTATACTGATGCCACTAATCTGTTTATTCATACTAGGACATTATGAAAAAACACAGCTGTTTTTATTTATTCTGATAGTTCAGACAAATAGTGTTACCAAATCTATCTTGTCAATGGTAA